GTGACGCCAGACGTCAGCCCACCCCTTCCCCGTGTACTCGGCACCCCCCCCCCCCCACAACCTCCCTGCATGCCTGGCCCAAGGCTCAGGTGCTGAATTAGCATTTACGAGGAGGGTTCACGTTGTGCTTCTTTCTGACGGCCGTAATTGTGACCTATCGCCCGTCTCGTCGTCCAGGACAGGGCATGCACGCGCGAGAGTTCCGGGGGACGCGCGTTGCGCATCGCGTCGTGCCGCCGAGACCACTCTGTGCCTCTTTTGTTGTGAAATTTTATTTTATTTTGCATAAAAACAACGGTCGATTCGGCGTCTTTTTTTGTGTGTTCAGGTTTGAGCGCAGCAATGCACGTGGTTCGTGATTACAAACAGATAAAACGATGCACACATACCGTTTTCGGGTTTTTTTTTGTTATGTGTCAACGCTAAAAAAAAAAAACGGTACGCACCAAACCGATAGTGTGCAGTGAAATTCAAAAGAGATGAAGCAAGCAAACAATATTCTGTAGAGCAATCACCATTATATAAACGCCTAAATATATTTGATATCAAATAACTCAATATAATGTGTCCATCTAATTATTACCCAGCTTAGTTTTTACCATCCTATGTTATTTTTCCAAAAGCGAGCTCCATCAAGATTGCAACAATAAAGGGGCAACACAAACATTGGAAACCGACCGTTTTTGTTTCCTCCGAAACGATTTGTAACCGCGATTCGTTTCGCCGTTCACGCGGCAAACACCGATCCAGCTTCCAATACCACGGCATCGGTGGGTAGCACGTGGGGCAACCTCTCACCACTTGCATTCAGAAACCCTCGCCGATTTTATCGCCATTAGCCAGACCGCACAAGCTATTTCGATGACGGTCAAAGCGTAACGTGATCAACTGCAACAGCCAAAATTGCCCAGGCCCGTATCTACCTGCTCCATTGACAACTCGCGTAATCTGGAAGAAGAAGAACTAAGTAAAGCTCTGAGTCCTAAAAAAAAAGTAAAAGCCCTTTCGTTTTTCGTGTTGTTTACGAGATCTCCAAAATATCCCATCTAGTACAGGGGGAAATTTAAAATATATAAACTCGTTCAAATTTCGCATTAAAGCCGTGAATTTATCCGCCTGCCCAAAATGTTTCAACAACATCAACAACGACGGTGACCACCGGGCAGGAGGGCGCACGACGCCGCGACACACAACATCCGAGCGGCCGGCGCAAACACGCGCAAGCCGCAGCAGTGCCCAGCGGTGTCGTAGGTGGCGACAGAGAAGCAAGGAGAAGGAGCAGGGAGAGAAGGATAGAACGAAGAAGGAAAAGGAGCGGGGGGGGGGGGAGCGGCAGGCAAAGAAAAACGACACGAAGTGCGGGGAAAGTGAGATCAGAAACGCTTCAACGCAAGGGGAGCACATCTTGCTACAACCATGTGCGATCCCTGCAAAGGAGAGAAACCCCCCCTTCCCATCGCCAACCCCCCCCGCCCCCACCATCCTCTATGTCCTTTTATTACAAATGAAAGCACGCGCCAGGTTCGATGTGGGTCTGCCGTCCGCCCCGCGCCATGAATTGATTGCAGGGGGTGTTCAACCTCATCTCGTGCGCATTCGTCACGTTCCGCTGAGTATTTACGGTCCCATTGTTGTGATGGGGGAACGGAGTGTCCTGGCAGCGTGGTGGAGAGACCCAGTGCCTTGACCCATCCGCGTCTCCGATTGTTGCGCAATTGCCATTTTATCTTTCCAAATAAACCTTTCACGCAACACGAAGCAACGGCACACTCCGGAACGAATACAAAAAAACTTACAATGATTATCCACCCATCGCCCACTGTCGTTCCACAGCAAGAAAAAAAAATCGTTAAATACATTCCGCAGAGACAAAGCCTCTTCCACACACACACATTTATATAGGCACGCAGGCGCGCACACGCAACAATATGGATGGATTTTAGCGCAACCCTGCCCATTCGTTTTGCGGCACAACACAATGCGTGGGTTTACGAACAAAACCGCGCGTTCCTCAGTGGCAAAGCGAGTACCAAGGACAGCTCCAACGGCAGGAACCGCCGGAAGACGCGGAGCGAGCCGACTCTACCTCACTCCTTCCCCCACTGGGCGCCGTGCAGTGGCTTCGGCTGCCACCCGAATGCCGTTTGGAAACGCTTTTAGCAAGCATCATTTTTATATATATACTTTGACTAGACTCTGGTACAAGGCACAAACCGTAACAAATAGGGGAGGGAGGGGGAGGGTACAGAAATGTTGTGGACCAAAGCCCGGGGGCGAGGGGGGGGGAGATCAGGCTCTGTGCTCCGCTCACGCAGGACCTGCAAAAGCAGGATCGTAGTTTTTGTTTACGTGGGGAAGGGAAGGCAAAAAAAAAACGGGAGTAAGGGGAATCGTTTAAATGTAATAATTAACTTTCTTAAGAACAGGAACGGAACTACTTATTGTTGTTGTTGTTTTAGAAAATCTGTAAAATCGCATGAACGGGCGCTGTCGTGTGCGTCCCCCGTTCGGTCGGCCATTGTCCTGCGTGAGCGATGAGCGCGGGCATTCGGAGTCAGCGGACGGGGGCACGACATCAAACGCCGCCGCTGGACGGGTCAACCGCAAAGCTCCGGTAGCGGCGGATGAACTTGGGGGTCGTAAATTGTGGTCGTATGTATGTTGAACTTCTTTCGCGCCGTACGTAGCCGATCGCGCTGGCCGACATCAACGTCGCCAGTGGATGCACGTGTCCTTCGTATAATTTTCTAAAACAAAACTTAAAGTAAAACCTTTAATGACCATCGTGACTGTTATTATTAATAATTGCATCAATTGCAGTCAGCATGAAACTAAACTTTTTTGTTGCAAAGTGCATATTTTTTGGTGCGTTATTAATTTGCCCACAAAAGTCTCAGGATGGTTGTAATGGAAACCTTCCGGTATTTGTGCAATTATGCTCAAGGAAGAAAAAAAGTTTAATGTACTTTTTTAAAACACCAACAAAAGCACGCAAGGAGATAACGCCCTAACCTCATGCTGGGAGGTTATAAACCTACTAAAAACACTGTGCTACCACATTTAAAAGAATGACCCTAAGTTACACAGAAACCATGGCTGACTAATTCTACATGATATAAAAGCTTGCACACCACCACGTATGCATACATACTTACAAGCGACCCATGGCTAAACAAATATTATTTACACACAAAGGCATTTATGACAATAACGGTGGATTGGTGGCGCAGTGGTTAGCACCCTGCGCTACGAACCTGGTGACATTAGCTACGGCAGGCCATGGCTAACGTCGGTGGCAAGCGATATCGGTCTCCCCCTCCGCCCCCCCCCCTCACCGCTTTCACCAACAGGTAAAGTATGGTCAAACGAACCCCATGGCTGACAAGGCATGGGGGAGGGAGGCCCTCATCCAGCAGTAGAGTGACAAAGGGCTACAAATTATAAATGACTAATGACGACAGCCCGCTTCACATACGTAAACTTGAATCGATCTTTAGTCTAATTCCATGTAAAAATGTGTTGTTTTTTTCTTCAACCATTTAAACCGACGAAACCTCTCTGCGCCACGAAGCTATCGCAGAAAGCACGCCTCGCAGAGCAGCACAGAGTGGCACGCTGTGGTCTCGAACACCTCACGTGCGACGTGTCGCATCCCCCGTGTAGGAGGAAGCAGAGACTGAGCCCTTGACGCTATCGCTACGACTGTGGTCACAAGCTGTCGTGCCAATGAGGACTTTGCCTCCACAGATGAAGACACCAAACACGGAATGAGTGCAGCACAAGTACTGCCGCATATCCCTGTCCTGAGCCGATTTTTGTCATGATTTTCACAAACGCCACTGTGTGGAGAGCGGTGGTGGCGCGGTCGGAATTGCTTCATGCTACGAGGCCGGCAACACGAGTTCGACTCCCGGCCACTGGTCCTGCCACTCCGCCCCCCACCCCACCATCAGCTCCTCCCACGTCAGCACCCGGCGCTGACCAGCGTGGTGAAGTACCGGTCAAATCAAATGCACGGGGAGACTTTCAACCAGCGATGGATTGATAATGGACTTGTATGTGTTGTTGTTATTATCAACTACAATCGACGTGTTGGAGTCTTTTCCAGCAATAAGCAAATTAAACATGACGTCTCTTTTTTGAAAGCATGACGACACAATGGTGACCACGTCTTCTGCAAGAATAACGAAACTCAACCGGGGCTGCCGCTTCTGTAAAGAAGTTGAACGAGAGGAGCGCGCCACGTGGCCGGGCTTGCCGTGACACGGCGGTGCTTGAACAGCACGTCGCACGATGTAGACTCGACCATAGTGATATTGTCCCTTCAGCAAATTATCATCGCGTCGTAATCGTCGCTGCTGATTTTATTTCAATATTTAAACATGTTATTTCCGGACAAAATATTGATGAAATAACAAGTGCAATAATTAAAGTTGTAACTAAATAGGTGGTAGCCATCAAATCTATGCTGTGCTAAAGCATATCTGGAGTGCTTGATGGCAAGGCCATTTTTTGACGTAATTATATTCGTAGTTCATTTAACAATTTATTTCTTGTGTAACTGACCGCGCGTGCGTTACAAGCAAATTAGGTTGTAAAGTTGCCAGAGTTATAAGACTCGTGCCAGGGTTATGTTGAAGAAACTGCACATGATACACAATCTCTGTCATGCATACTGAAAACATAAAACGTAAACAAACAATGCAACAACGCAGGTAGAAGAAACTTGCATCGCAACAATTGTCCCCTCGAGAAACTCTACCACGCATCGTAATCATTAGCGGACCAAATATGTCACCAGATTGACGATCGCTGTCATTAAAAATTCTAAGATAAAATTCGGGCAATCACACCGAGCGCTCGCTCCGCGCGATCACAAACTTACGGGAAACCAAAGATCGCGACGAATCGTGACAACGTCGGTCGGTCGGTCCGTTTCGTGAAAGAAAGAAATAAAAAGTCCGCCGCTTGACTATCCCGCGGACACAAAACCAACTCACCAAGCAGGCTGGGTCCCAGCCTCATCCTCTGCAGCTCCACGCACGACATGGCTCACGGCAAGCGAGCGGACACGGCCACTCGGCACGACGCGCACACAAAACTTTTGCCTCCCTCGCTTCTTGTGACTAAAGTCTGCAGCAAACTTCTCCTCTAGGCTTTTTCAAGGAGCTTCGGCACCAATCACGGCCCCCAGACCGCACCCCCCCTCCTCCTCCTCCTCCACGTCCTCCTCCCCCCCCCACCCCTCCCGCGTTGCGCGCTCGCCGCAGCAAATCGCGGGTCCAAAACTCGCGAAGCCGCCGCCGCCGCCGCCGCTCCTCTGCAGCGCGACGCGGAGTAGGAAGAGGAGGAGGAGGTCGCCTCCCCCACCACACACACCACCCCCCCCATCCTTGTCCTCCTGCCCCCCGGCTCCCCCTGCCCCTTCCACCGCCGCGCCGCCCACCCCCGAGTCGTTGTTCCCGCGCCCCGGCGCGACGAGGACGAACAAAAGGGGGCGCCGCTCGCGCCCTGCCCAGCTGATGTCGCGCGCGCGCGCGCGCGTGCCCGCGAGCGGCGAGGTGGGGGACGACTTTACACGGAGCGTTTCTTTATCATCGCGAAAAAAAAGCACGCGCATTATGCCACGCGCGCGCACAACATCAACAACAACGGCGGCGGCGGCTGGGGCCAATGTTCAACACGAAGTGTCGGCGACGTCACAGACGGCGCTTGCGGTGCCAGGCTAGGTGCGCCGCTTCGAGGCGTGCGGGCACGCGCGCGCGCGCACGATGACGTTCGGGTTGACACCAATAAAGGAAACGGAGCGCTGAACCTTGCTGCAAATGTTTCTAATCGCTCGAAGGGCACCGACCCAGTCCGACTCTGCCCGACTCACATTCTCATCGAACTCTGCCGGTGGCGCTTTGAATCGCCGTGCATGGAACAGATACGGAGATGGGGTGCACCGAACTTAGTTTTCACTCACGTAACACATTTCTTAATAAGCAGACGTGCGCTGGCTGCGTATAATGCATTCTAATACGCGGCTTTAATTTGCTGGGGGGGGGGAGGGGATTTCCATAAAGACCCCGCACGCGTTGCCCTTTGAACCCTGCCATACATCCATGGCAGCTGTCTTTCTCTCCCTCTCATTCTGAGGTCCCTCCGCTCCCCCAGCCCCTCACCCCCAATGCCCCCCTCCCCAACTCTAACCCTGCTTTTGCTCAATTTACCTTTTGTTTATGCAAATGTAGGCCGCGTTTGTCGCCCGCGACAGATGGTGAGGTGGGCCTCAATGGCAGAGAGGGCGGCTGGCAGGGCCCTGACCCTGTCGCCATGGTGACGGGGGCCACCTAAATGGCACGCAGCGCTAGCGGGGCCAGCGCTCTCACCCCCCTTCTGTCTCGGGGGGTGGACGGGGGGGGACTCAGAGGGGGTGGGATGTGGGGACCCAACCCTCGACCGACTGTCCGCCACTCTCAACATCATTGGGATCGGCACTTGCGGGTTTTGGTTGGAGGGCTGCGCTGGGCTGGGAGGGACTGAGAAGATGCTTGGCTGTGGCTGTGGTGGTGGTGGTGGTGGAGGGAGTCACACTTTTTGTTTTGATTTTTTTGTCTCTCTCCCCTCGAAGTTTACAACGGGACAGAACGGAGAGTTTATACAACTTTTTTTTGTACGTTCTAACCGTGCTTATACAAAAAATCGTGGCCATCGTTGGACCGTCATGGCCGGCGGAGATTTGGCTTCTCCTTTTGAATTTGTCCCTTGCTCACGTCTGGCCGCACGCGTTATTGAGTTAGCAGAGCCTCGGAAAAAGTGATTATGCTCTCTGCAAGCTCAGCTATCGTATTCTTAATCAATTCCATCCACGAGTGCTCATTTACAGCGACACAAAGTGCCCCGTTGTTTGGTTGGAGGCACACTCGCCACTGCCCCCCCCCCCCCACCCAAGTCTTCTGTGAGAATCCAGACACTTTGGGCAGCTTGTGAAAGCTGATCTGGCCTTTGCGAGATACAAAAGTTCGGATTAAATAACAACAATAATAACATATTTTATTGATCCATAAAGGTCTCAGTGAGTTACGAGCCTCTGTCTTGCCAACGCAGATCCCGCATTGAGATTCGTGGGCAATCCCTTTGTGAAGAGCTGTGTGCATGCGCGCCGTGAACTCCACATATATACACCAACAAGGGACAATGGCTGGACTGAACAGATAGGTTCACAACCCGCTCTCTCTACAGCCCATCTTATTCCTGCCTCAGCTCAATAGGTTCTGAAGTTTGACATGCGTGATCCACCAACCCTACCTCGAAAAACTGCGTTCCGTTCCACACATTTCTTCCACACATTTCAATCAATTACCATAACACTACTATTTATAATAATAAAAATACTGTCACTTTTTGACCATACTTCACCGTGGTGGATAGTGCAGGTTGGTGAATGCTGTGGAGAGGGAAGGACCGGTTCTGGTATCACTCCATTTTCTAGTTGTGCAACATCCCGTAAGGATCCTGTACTCGATCTCTGTGACACTGATGATGTTTTTTTTTGTCTTTAGTTTGTGTTGTTGCTGTGCTCACGCGCCACGGATCTACCTTGTGAAATAGCCGGGCGACTGCCTAAACGGGATCATCATCCGTGCAACAAATCGAATCAACTCTAACTCGCCACTGATGTAAGCCGTGGCCGGGAGTGGAACTTGGGTTGCCATGTTGACAGCGCAGTGCGCTAACCAGCCATGCCTCAGCCGCACTGCAATTCGGATCTATATGACCGGTGTATGAATGTCGAAATGCTGGGAGTTTCTTTTTGTTTTTCCAGTTCCTGACAAAGCTCCAAACACACGGATCGAAACGTCAGACACATCGTGCCGGAAAACACGCAGTTCAACCCGAGCACGCACGCGAGATCATAATCAGAATATTTCTTTATACCAGGGAAATCCGATAAGCCATGAAACTCTTTTTTCACTGACATCCAGTCGGGGTAGCCCAGAACATTGCAAAAACCAACAATACAAAAACACGATAGGAGGGTAAAGTATAGGAAAGGTAAACCAATCACTTTAAAAAAATATATAGAGACATGAAAGTAAACAATTTTCATCTTAACAAACTAAAACTAAACGACCATTATGTTATCAGTTACGGCCCACTGAGCTATATAGATCTTTGTTCGAATGTATGCATGTACGTTAAACTTCTACACAGACACTCAGCTCGAGTAAACAATGCTTCGTGTCAAAACCCTCATTCAATTGTACAGCACATCTACGCTGCCTTGTGCATGTTCCACTCCTCCGGCAAAACTCGTAAGTGACCGGGGTGAAGTGTGGTCACATCACCTTGTGTGACCCACGTGGCGTCGATCTGCACAGCGCGAGCGCGACAGCGTGCGCGGGAGGGACAGAATTGGCTAAACGTTTCAAGCAGGATCCTAAGTCGGTCGAGCCTTCGTCTCGGTAACGGAGCAGTCTGCATGAATAAATAACTAATATTTGCACTCATGTCAATTCCGCAGGCTCCGCCGATGGGACGCTTGGCCAATTCCAATTCTTTAAACCGCCGGGACTGACGGTCTCTCGGCGGGCACTCAGCCGTCGGTAAATAACGTTTTAAGGGCTCTCAAATGAATACAATGACCATAAAACCTACCACGCGCGCGCGAACACCTGCAGTCACAATAAACGAAGAGAGATTGCGGGCGAGCACGAGGCGCGGAGCGGGGAGGAAGCGCCGTGGGCGGACGCGAGGAGGCGGTGCCAGCGTCTCCGGCGGTACGCGGCACGCGCATCACTGCGTCGGCGTCAATTCTGGCAGCACGGTGCGCAAAGCGGGGCCTCGCAGAGAGAAGCGGCCGCGTTCGATTCCCGTTTGCATGTGGCTTTGGTATGTTCTCCTCCCCCCTGTTCTGCAGAGTGTGAATGAGTGAGTCGGTGAGTGTGTGAGTGAGTGAGCAAGGGTCAAGCAGTGAGAGTGTGTAGAGTTGGGGGGGGGGGGCGGTAGTGTAGCGGTTAGCGCACTGCGCTACGAACCCAAGTTCGATTCCCGCTCATGTCCAACACCAGTGACGATTAGGGACGGGAAGGAGCGGAGGGGCGAGGGGAGGGAAGAGGAAGGGAATGGATGTTGGGGAAGAGGTGAGGCTTTGAAAGAGGGACGGAGGGGGGATTAAGGAAGGGGACTGGCTGCTCAATGTACAGAGGAAGCCACTGCTTCTGCTCGACTCAGTGAGGCTTTCCTGGGTAGATTCGCAAAGTAATAATTACACTCGATTTGAAAATTGTAATTCTTTATCGTAAACCTCACACACGTGAGCACAGACGCACGCTGTCCTCTCGCTCACAAGGCCTCCGATTAGCATGGCCGGCTACGTGAGGCGCGAAAGAAGTTCAACATACAAACACGACCTCTCTCCCCTTGGACCGTGATCACGACTACGCACACACACACACACGCGCTGCTGGAGACCACAGAAAGCTCTGGCACGCTCACCGCCTGAAGCCCTCCTCAGCACAAAGTTCCACGGCTCTCGCCGTGTTCTGTATGAATTGCACACCATAAAAACTATAAACTATTATTTTACCAGGTAAGGCCCACTGAGCTATATAGTTACTTGTCAGAAGCGACCTGACCACAAATTAGAGCTCGACGAAGTGGCCCATCACGTGGACATTTATCGCAGCCAAATACTCTAAACGCGTGGCGACGTTGATTCTAAATGTGGAGGGGAACACTGGAGGAGCTGGTGAAAAATCCACGCGACAAAGGAGAGAACATGCAAACTCCAAATATACAGCAGCAGGCGTCAGGGTCGGGATCGAACCCACGATTCCTGTATACCAGGTGCGGTAATTAACATCCTGCCACCATATACAGTAAATATATAACCACACTGAGCAACAGATGAGGACCTCAAGCAGTGCAAGGCCCCCCCAGAGTAATGAACAATTGAGAAAGCGCCAAATATGAAATGGAATTGATATCCTATGAACATAAAAAGCCAATGATCATAAGCAGCTAATTAATCTATTTTAACACTATCTTGTCTGTAGCTATCTTCTCTCATCTTATTAAATCTCTGTTACTCGTCTGTCAACATCTCTTCTCATATCACTCCATCTCTGTCTCATCTGTAATCTCTCTTCTCACCGCATCTCTCTCTCTCTCTCTGTTGCCGATATCCCTTCTGCCACCTCGCCCGG